GGGCTGTCATGATGTTCAAGTCCGTTAATTGATTAGAGCTTGCAAAGTAGTGATGTTCCGTCTTCACTCACTAACTGGAATGCTTCTAACAGGAACACCTCCCCTTATTTGCCATTCGGTCCGCCACCAGTGCAGTTCACCTATGAAACGCAGGACGAATGCTCAAGTATTTTCCTTTAATTTCTAGTTTGCAAAATAATGAGTTAGTTCCCTAACATCCTCTTGCAGTGACCGATTCGTTTTTTCCCCTTTTGCCCTGAGTTGTTAGTCCAAACATGGAATCAGCCCCCTTTCCAAGGATTTCTGGGGTTTATTTAGTTGGACATTTACAAAGCACACTCTGGACATTGCTCTGGGTTGGTCATTGATTTTAGGGCTTTATAGTGGAAGCACCAGGAAACACACGACTATAAAGCACTTCAGACCATGAGCTCATCACGATATTTCCAACTCCTATCTGAGACTGCAGAGGTTCAGGTAAGCTCCTGCCTCCCATCTGCATCCTGTTTCTCCCACACTGAAAATCCTGGCTAGCAGGACAGCAGGGGTTTGGTAGAACGAGAACATTACTAGTTACCTATGTGCTTTATTCCACATTTCATACTCAACAACCTCAGAATAACAATGCTGGCACAATCTCAGAGGAGTTTTAGGGCAGTGAAACTGCCCTATATGATACTATAATGGTCGGTACACGTCATTATACGTTTGTTAAAATCCATAGAATGTACACCACCAAGAGTGAGCACTAATGTAAACTGTGGACATTGGTTAATAATGTGTTGATGGAATGTAACAAATGCACCACTGTCGTGCTGGTTGTTGGGGGGGTGCTATGTATTTGGGGGGAGGAGGATAGGAGAATTCTCTCCACTTTCCCCTCAGTTTGGCTGTGAACCTGAAACTGCTCTAAAAACACAATCTAAGGCTGGACGCGGTGGCTCATGCCTATAATCCCAGCATTTTGGGAGACCAAGGCAGGAGGATCACTTGAGGCCAGGAGTTCGAGAGCAGCCTGGACAACATAGTGAGACCCCATCTCTTTAGAAAAAAAGGGTCTGTAACTTCTTAAAAATTCATATGGCTCCAAAGTCAATTATACAAGGAAAAAAGGTCCATTTAAAGAAGGTTAGCTTTCATGCTTGTCTTAATATTCTTTCCTACCCCTTAAAGAAAACAAATTTGAAATATTTTGAATTATCCTTCCGTCAGCATCTCTCTGTCTCTCTCATACACACACACACACTCATCTCCTCCACTCGCTTAGGTAGATAGTAGTATTCTGTTCCCATTTAGCGCTCTATCTGGATTTTTCCATGGTGGTTGTACGTGTAACTTTCCACCTGAAAACTTGTCTTTGTTACTTGAAACATAGTAATTTATCCAACTGTTGAAATACCGTCTCATTCTTATTTCAGAGCAATAGAAAGTACTAGTGCATTTTCAATGGAGTAGGCACCATCGTATGCAGCAGCCGTGCGCTGGCCAGCCAGTCTGCGCACCCTGTGCGGCCTCCGGTCTCCCAGGCGTCCCTCCTTCCCAGGTGGGGCCCACATGCCTATCTCTGGGATCAGTGTAAGGACCTCTGCCGCCGTCCTGTCCTCACAGGCCCAGATGTGCTCTGAGTCATCGGTCTGCTGTGCCAGCTCCATTTAAAACCCTCACACACCTCCTGGGTCTTTCAGATAAAGGAGCAAAGTCCCCTTGTAAAAAAAGGGGCGATTTCTGCTGATTTAGAGGGCGACTTGCCCTCTTGCCTTGTGAGGAAGGCCCCAATGCTGAGCCGGGGCGAAGGACACTTGTCCACCTGGAGGGCTCACACCCGTGCCTGCCGTGCCTGTCCCTGGCATCCGCTCCCGGCCACACCTCCCCATCATGCCACACCCCAGGGTCCCTTTCAGGGTGCAGATGCCACTGTGCCTGGCCTTTGCAGGGGACTGACACATGCAGCTGTCATGCAGACAGGTACATCTGGAATTTTGTGTTTTTAAAAGGATGTTAGCTCCCGACTCATCTTTTTGAGGCTTAGAGTGGGGTGTTTTCAGACTAAACAGTTGATATGGGCTTTAGATCCTAAAAACCTGCATTAGGGAGGGTCTCTGCAAGTCATCTAATTTGGTGGTTCTCAATGTTCCTCCCCCTAGGGGACGTTTGGCAATGTTTGCTGACGTTTTGGGTTGTCACAGTTGGGGGTGGGGATGCTACCGGAAGTTACAGGGTAGAGGCCAGGGCCACTGGTCAGTGTCCCACAGTGCACGGGACGCCCCCGCCACAGACAGGGGTCCTCCCAGAGCATCAGTGGAGCCGAGCCTAAGACACCCCACAGAACAGCAGCGTCCGGCAGCGGAGCCCCTGGGAGCTCACTAAGTTGGGGGCTCGGCCCCCACCCCGGGCCTGCTGAGTGGGATGTTTCACCAGACCCAGGCGATCCCTCCGCACGTGGAGGTTTGAGATCATGCTCTGCCTGATCCCGCGTCTCCATCCCAAAGCCAAGAGAACCCTGACAGCAGAAGTCAAGGGTCCCCCAAATCCAGTGCTCCACAGAAGCGCTGTCTAAACAGTGGTCTCTTTTAATACCCGTAAGATATTTATTGCCAGGAATGACTTGGCCGAATGAAAGTCGACACGTGCACTATATATAACGTGTAAAGACAGGGGCCACCGTCATTTTGATCTTTAATCTCAAGATCTCACAAACCTTTCAGTCCTGTGTTCTAGGGGTCTGAAGTCCCCTTGTGGCTCTTGGTCGCAACACTGCTGGTGAGGTGCGGGTGTGACTCAGCCCCTCGCACCGCCCCAGCCCAGCCCCACTGCATGAGGAGGAAAAGTCCTTCCTTCACGTGGGAAAAATAGCTCCTGGCTCCAAAGCCAGTTACATGTGGCAAAAGGTACATTTAAAAGGCTCTGGCTTCTCTGCTTGTCCCTTCTAGCTGTTCTTTCCTCCTGTAGAAAACCAATTTTAAGGGTTTTGGATTATCCTCCTGCTTTTTCAATATAAGACACACACACACACACACACACACACACACACACATGCTAGGACGGCCAGCCCCCGCGGCTGTCACTCCCACACCCAGAGGCGGGGGAGCAGGGGGAGGGGACGGGCCGAGGGCAGAGCTGACCCTGCCCCGGGGCCCCTGGGGCCTCAGAGCTGCTTCCCCGTGTTTCCTATCTGGAGTCATCAGCCGAGGCCTGGACTTTCTCCCTGTGGCCCTCGGCGGCACGTGGCTCCTGGAATTGCCATCTCGTGACTGGCTGGCACGAGTCTGGACATTACCCCGAGCTGCCCACCCGCTGCCGGCGCCCTTCCCTGGGATCCTCAGCAGGAAGCCAAGGCCAGCTGTGACGGTCGGGCCCGTCCTGTGCTGACACAGCACCTCCCCCAGTGTCTGGAGCCGATCTTGTTTTCCTTCAGCGCTTCACAGTGATCGCAGGAGGGAGAGGTCAGAGGGCGCCTTCCCGACAGAGTCGGGCCGGCACTCCGAGTCCTCTGTGCCCGTGTGCCCGGCACAGGACAAACACCGGAAGCTCTGTGGGCACTGCAGGGATGATACGGAAAGAAGGGAGACCTGTCCTTACTAATACGAATGAAGTCGTCTATATCTGTATTCCCCGTTGTCCCACAAATGATTCCATTTGTGGAAAGTGAGGTGGAAAGTGCTCGGTGGATGGAAAGAAGAAAACAAAGCTGGCCAGGAACGGAAAACAGAGGCACGGGTGGGGCTATGACGGAAATGCGTACAACTCAAGACCTAGACATTTGTCACAGGGAAGGCCACACACATTTGGCTTTTTAGTTGCCAGTGGAAAGAGACACTCGGTTTTCAACAGACGAGGTTAAACCCTAAGTGGCCCTGGAACCGAGGCAGGACATAAACTTCTCTTTAGGGTCCCAAAGGAACAGTGACCTCAACCACAAGCTTCCGGTAGGCCCAGGGGCATCCAATTAAAGAGCAGCTCAGTCACAGCAAATGAGCAAGGGGCGTTGCAACATGATCCTGGCACACACCTGGGCAGGTCTGCTTCGTTCCAGGGTCGACCCAAATCACCGGGGAAAGGCCCACGCCCCAACATGGCCATCACCCACATGGCCATCACCTGCCAGCTCTCAGGCCCATTGCCCAAGACTCCGAATCTCTCGGCTAACAAGAGCACTCTCCCTCTTCCCAAGGGCTCCGCATCCTCTGTCTCCACCTGGCACAAAAGCAGGGCCATGTCCACGAGAGGCTGTACAGCAGAGGTGTGACACTCTGACACTCTTGGCCTCTAGAGTCAAGGAGCCTGGGCTGGAATTCTGGCTCCGCCTCTTACCGAGTGTGACCTGGCGCCATCAACTTACCTCTGCCTTAGTAAGTGGAGGGTGGGAATAGCATCTACTTCTGTTTTCCTAATGAGATGATACCGTCATTCAGCACTTCTTGAGCTCCCATTATATGCCAGGCATTGTTCTAGGCCTCTGGCACATCAGGGCCCCAAACTGGTAAGGACCCTTTGCCGTGTTCCCTGTGGGGCTCAGGTTCCTGTTGTGCACGCAGCACAGCGTCCGCCATCCATGGCCGCTGCCCCAGTGCTGCTGAGAAGGAGCTCTCGGCAGCGACAGGACGTCAGGTAACAGATGAGGACAGGTAGGCTGCCCAGACAGTGCTGGGTCCTGGTGTCGCTCCAAAGACTTGAATAAGGCTCGGTTCATGCTCTCAGAAAGTTTATAATCCCAGTGAGGAGACATCATCTGAGATTTTTTTAAAGAAATAATAGTTCAAAGAAGGCATAACATAAGCAGATGAGAAACTGAGGTGGTGGCGGAGCCTGGTGTTACCAGCGTGGGAGGCGAGTTCATTCTGGCCTGGGGAGTCCCACAGGGACAGAGAGACATGCCTTGGCAAGGCAGCCGCTGGGAGCTTGCCCAGTGTCACTTCCCTGTCAGTGGAACTCTGCTTGTGTCCAAGTAACTTTTCCTCCGCCCACGAAGCGGGGCAGGTGAGCCCGGTGTCTGCTCCTGGCTGGGGCGAGGACTGTGGCTGGTCTCAGCTGCACACACTGATCCACGTCTGGCCAGCAAGGACTCCGGGATCCGCCATTCGGCCAGTGAGACATGGGAGAAAGGCTGGGGGAGGGGGGGGCGGGTTCCAGAAAAGCTTCCTCTGCATCCTGGAAGTGCTGCAGGCGTCTTGACACCAGGCTGTGAGGAGCAAGGGGTACAGAGGGGCAGAGCTAAGACCTGAGGACCTCCCTCTCTCTGGGCTTCTTTTTTTTTTTTTTAAGACAGAGTCTTACTCTGTTGCCCGGGCTAGAGTGTTGTGGCGTCAGCCTAGCTCACAGCAACCTCAAACTCCTGGGCTCCAGCAATCCTCCTGCCTCAGCCTCCCTAGTAGCTGGGACTACAGGCATGCGCCACCATGCCTGGCTAATTTTTTTTTTCTATGTATTTTTTTTTAGTTGGCCAATTAATTTCTTTCTATTTTTAGTAGAAATGGGGATCTCACTCTTGCTCAGGCTGGTTTTGAACTCCTGACCTTGAGCGATCCTCTCACCTGCGCCTCCCAGAGTGCTAGGATTACAGGTATGAGCCACCACGCCCGGCCTCTGGGCTTCCTTTGATGTGGAGCACAGATTTTGTTTGGGGGGAAGCCAGTTTTAATCTAGTTTGTCTGTGACCTGCAGCCCAAAGCATCCAAACTAATAAGATCGGGAGTGGTGAAAACACAGGTTTGGCAGGACCCGACAGCCTCCCTTCCAGACTGTTCCACCTGTTCTCTCTCTAGAAAGAGGAAGGATCTCCCCGGAGAGCTAGGAGCCTCCTCGGCTCCACACGTTCCCTCTCCCTGAACACCCGTCAGTTCCTTCCTATTTCATCTCCTTCATGGTTCCGGATTCTCTCTTCCCCCTCCTCCCTCACTAACACCACTTTTGTTTTGAGGTCTGCCGTCGCTTTCTTGAAATAGTACCAGCATTGCTTCCTGGCTTGTCCCTCCCTCCAAGCTGCCACTCTCCCTTCATCCTTTAGACAGCAGTGAGCTCTCTAAGAGGGAAGGATGACCATAGGTGTCTTGATTTTTTTAAAAAAGCCAGTGCCCTATTAACAACCTTAAGGCAATGTGCAAAAACTTCGATTATGCTTCTGGCTTCCCGGCCTTTCTCTACCCATCCCATAGGGCCCCCAGCACCCCAGCTCAAACTCTCCCCTGCAGCTCCAGGGCCCCGGGCAGGCCCTTCTGCTGGAGGCCCCCTCCCTCCAGCCCTGGCGCCTTGGCCCCCAGGACTCTGTGGAGCTGTGATTCCGCCTAAGCAGAGTGCTGGCACCTGGACTTCCCTGTCACAGCACATGGCACTGTGTCCAGTTTTCTGTTGACTTGGACTTGAATAAATAATAGGTAGCCCAGTGAAACCTTTGGCAAGATTCTGAGCCACCAGAGACAATGAGTTTGTGACCTTGGTTGTGAGCTCATTTGACATTAAATCATTCTATTTGAGTGGCACACAATTGCCCGGGTGGCCACGAAACACGCCTTATTGTTAAGGAACAGTAACTGACAGAGTTTTTCAGTACCTTTTTTCATCACTGTCAGTCATTTGGGAAAGTATGATGCAGTGTCGAGGCCAGGGCGCTCCTACCCCCCATCCATTCCGCCTGGCAGCTGTCCCTTCCTGCCGGCTCTCAAAGCTAACAAGGACAGCGGGAGAAGCAAACGGGCCGGGTCATGGTGAAATGGAACCACCCCCACTAGCCCCGTCACAAGCTGACCACACGATTACCTGGGACATCTCCCCAAGTCCTCTAGCTGCTCCCACGGTGGGCCACATCCTGTGAGCACGGAGGGGCCCCCTCACGACAGCCCCGTGTCATCAGTGTCTGAACCAGGACGACGTACGCAGAGCACCAGGGAGGGTCAGGCCGGCTTAGCAAAGGCAGACATTTCAAAACAGGGGAGGGCATCTCCAGCAGGGGTTCCAGTCTGTGCTACCGCCCATGGCTATTTGGGGGACCTTCGTGCATGGCATCTGCGATGACAAGACTAGTGCTGGGAGCAAAGCTGCTGTTGCAGCGGGAAGGACCGTAGGAGCCACATTCGGAGTTTAGGATTTATCTTGTGGCCAGACACTCTGAGTTCTGGAAGACAATCTGAGAAGCGCAGCAGGGCGGGGGCCGGCGGGGCGAGCACAGAGAGGCTGTGGGTGCACCGTCATGGCGTCTCAGTCCCTTCCCCTCGGTCATTGCAAGGATTGGTTTGGTTGTCATAAACAGACAAAAAGACATTACGGTCCTCCAGAAAGTGAAACACCCTCTGTTCCAGAAAGTGAAACACCCTCTGTTCTAATGTGTTTTTTTTTTTATTTTCAGATTACCTGATTCCTCTGTGTGCCCTTGAGGGTTCTAGAAATTTCTCATCTTGTAAACTGAATATCAGATAAAGAAGTAGTCCCGCTTTGTGCATGAAATTGAAATCTGAAGCCTAAGTTTTCCACTTGACATATTTCACATCACTCAAATACGTCATCAAAAGGTCTTGGATCCGGCCACAGAAATGCTACAGCCAGAGACATGTAACAAATGTGAAAGTATAGGGACAGAGGCTGCAAAGAGGACACAGTGGAATTGGAGGCTGTGGATTGCAGAGTATTCGCTCAGTCCTGGAACCGGGTGATCCTGCCTTAAAAGCCAGCGTGTCCCAGTCCAGCACCCCTGGTAAGCAGTCAGGGCCTGCACTTGGAGATGCCCGATGGCCTCAAGAAAACTTCATGTTTCCAGCATTTCATCTGGAGTCCCTGCTTGCCCAAGGTCAGCTATTTATTCAAGATGTAACTGCTAAAGTGTTTTTTACCTACGAATGTCTAAAATAGATGTTTCTCCAGTGCACATGGTTTTGAAATGGTCATTCTGGAAGCCTAGACCAAAATGTCCTCAAACTCATCATACTATACACTTACAATGGGCAAATTTTGTTGTAAGCTTCACTTCAAGAAAGCTGGGGGTGTGTGTGTGCAAATGATGTTCTCTTTTGAGGAGCCTCAAGTGGCCGTCCTAATATTAGTTGTCTTCACCTGTATGCTCACCTGTAGGGTGGAGATGAACCCTCCTGCCCCCTAGCACAGTGTGCGGCAGTGTCCATGCAAACACCTGTCCTGGCCCGGGGCCCAGGGTGGACTCTTAAACAGCCGTGACACCGGTGCAGAGACATTAGACATCTTTCCTTCCTAAGAAATTTTCAAAGGCTGCTTGGAGCCGTGCACACCGATAAATATTTCTGTGTCTATGAATCTGGCCCACCTTGTTTCACACCTGTGTTTGGTGGGACAATTTATCACGTGTTCTCCATCTCATGGCCCGAGAACCACGGGACACTTGGGATCGACAGATCACAGTGCACCAGGGCTCGTTTCATCTCTGCCAGCTCCACGATTCCCAGCTCACCACTAGAGCCCGAAGGCGGGTGTCACCTGGATCACAGCTCCTAACGTGCTGCTGAAACCGAAGCGCAACAGAGACCTGGGGACCAACTGAACACAGCAAATATCCTACATAAGGTGAATTCTCTCTGGCCACACAGGTTAACAAGAAAATTTTGTCTCAGAAGAAGAGGCTGGCAGTCTGTCTTCTCAAGGACACAATACACATCAGGGCTTTTCTCGATAGATTGAGGACCTCATCTTTTTTTATATGTTTGCCTTTCAAGAGACCCCCAGCCCCAGGAGCTCTGATATTTAGCCGTGGCTCAGAGTGTCTGGCCACAAGATAAAGTATAAATTGGTCCACACACTTAGGAAAACTATTTGGCATTGTACACTAACACTGATCGTCCACTTCTCCCATCACCCAGCAATCTGCAGAATATATCGACAAGAAATGTTTACATACGCATATCAAAAGACATGGACAGAAGTGTTCACAACACCGATAGCCAAAAGCTAGAAACAACCCAAAACGTCCATCCGTAGTAGAACGAGCAGATAGCCGTGGTGTGGAAGGCAATGGAGCACCCCGCGCGGCGAGCACGAGCATGCTCTGGGTGCCGCAGCCGCACGCGTGGGTCTCACAAGCCCAAAGCTGAACGAAGGAAGCCAGGCAGAGAGCGAGCCGTGTGCGCTGTACGTGGAGCTCAGAAGCCGGCCAGACTCGCCTTTGGCCTCTCCCTTAGGGTGAGGGTAGCGAGTGGGAGGGACACAAGGGCTGCTTCTGGGGCTCTGGGAATGTTCTAGTGTTTATTTAGATGATGGTTATGGGATGTGCCCACTTGGGTGGAAATCCCTTGTGCTGGTTCTAACCAAATCACAAATCTGCTTGTGATTTGCTTAGAACCTCCAGTGTAATTTTTCTAACGCATAGATTTTTTTTAAACCAAGAAATAACCATAAAACTCACCTTTTAAAGTACACAATCCAGTCATTTTAGTGTATTCACAAACGTGTGCAACTCTCACTATCTAGTTGCAAAGCATTTTCACTGCTCCTATACCCATTGAGTCATTCCCCATTTCCCCTCCCCCAGCCCCTGGCAGCCACCAATCTACATTCTGTCTCTATGGATTTGCCTATTCTGGACATTTACATAAATAGATTCATATAACATATGTCCTTTTGTGTCTGGCTTCATACACTTAGCATAATGTCTCTGAGGTCCATCCAGGTTCATCCATATGAAGTGCACACATCGGCACTTTGTTCCTTTTATGGCTAAATTGTATTCCATTGTATGGATAGACCAGATTGTTTATCCACCTATCAGTTGATGGACGTTTGGGGCATGCACTTTTTGGCTATTATAAATAACGCTGCAGTGAACATTCATGTACTGTTTTTGTGTTTTCAATTTTCTCTGCTATGCCTAGTAGTAGTAATAGAATTGCTCAATACAACGTTGAATGGAAGTGGCAGGGATTGATGTCCTTCTCTTGTTCCTGATCATAGGAGGAAAGTGGCCTTTATCAGGTTGAAGTTCCCTTCTACTCCTAGTATGTTGAATGTTTTTAACATTAAAAGATACTGTATTTTGTCAAATGCTTTTTCTATGTCCATTGAAATTATAATGTAGTTTTGTCGTTTATTTATTTGGTGTGTTAAATTGATTTTAATATGTTAAACAAAATCTTGCATTCCTGGGATAAATCCCACTTGGTCATGGCGTATAATCCTTTTTATGTGTTGCTGAATTAAGTTGGCATTTTGTTGAGGAAACTTCTATATTCATAAGGGCCTGCAATTTTCTTTTCTTGTGACATCTTTTGCGAGCTTTGATATCAGGGAAATGCTGGCCTCATAGAATGAGTTGGAAGGTGTTTCTTCTTCTTCTATTTTTCTTCTTTAAATGATTGGTAAAATTCACCCATGAGGTCACTGGGGCCTAGACTTTTCTTTCAGGGAAGTTTTTATTACTAATTCAATTTTTGTTTTTGTTATAGGTCTATTCAGACTGTCTATTTCTACATGAGTAAATTTAAGCAGTTTGTATCTTTCTAGGAATCTGTCCTTTTTATTTAGGTTACCTAAATGGTTGACACACACTTGTTCATATTATTTCCTTATTATCCTTTTTATTTCTGTAAGGTTGGCAGTGGTGCCTCCTCATTTATTCTTCATGTTAATAATTTGAGTTCTCTCTCTCTCTCTCTCACTCTCTCTCGCTCTGTTTGGGATGCCCATTAATCATATATTGGTACACTTGATGTTGTCCTGTAGATCTCTGAGTTTATATTTCTTCAATCTTTTTCTTTCTATTCTTCAGACTGGAGAATTTCCATTGATCCATCTCCAAGTTTACTGATTCTTCTGTCATCCAAAATTACTGTGGGGCCCATCTCGTGACTATATCATTTTCGTTATTGTTCTTTTCAACTACAGAATTTCCAGATAATCAAAAGCTTCCAGCATCTGCTGCTGATCTAGGTGGACAACACGTGCAATTCCTTGTCTCACCTTGATAAGAAATGCTTTTTAGTTCCCTCCCAGGTGCCTAAGGGAGGTGAGCTTTGAGAGTAACAACTACATTCTTTAATTATGTTATTTAGTTTCTCAACATATGGAGGCGAAGAAATTACTTGACAGCCTTATAAGGCTATGTATATTTTTATATCAAAAATTATCTGATTTTTTTTGTTGTTAGCTTCTTTCTTAATTTGAAGTAAGACAATGGTGTGGCCCTCGGGTGATGACACAGATAAGACTGTTTGGCACCCGAGATAAGACCCTCCATTCACTGGTCTACCTAGGAGCTCCAGGTGTTGTTCACTCTCGACTCCTCGGGCTGTGCCACGTCCCTGTCTCCCAGAACTTTGCACTCGGTGACTGGTAAAGCTGGCGGTACTGTGAGGGTGACAGAGGAAGCCATGGAGCACTGTGACTCAGGCCACACCTTGTCCATGTGTTCTGAGTTGAGGGGCCCAGTGTGTCACTTCCTAAATGATAGAAAAAAGAGGCCTGTTCTAAAAACTTGGTCCTTTCCTTCAATTCCTTCAATTTTACAACTACAGTTTCATTTGTTCTGTTTAAATTGGTGGCTTTTTTCCCTCTGTTCTTCCATAGTGTGGCTGAGTTATCTCATTCTTCACCAAGAGAAGATTTTCATGAAGAAAGAACGTATGAAGCCCGTTCATACGGGCTTCATACGTTCTAAGGATGCATTTGTGGGAGGAAAAGAGTTCAAAAAGGTAGCCTCAGCCAGGCGCGGTGGCTCACGCCTGTAATCTTAGCACTCTGGGAGCCCGAGGCGGGAAGATCCCTCAAGATCAGGAGTTCGAAAACAGCCTGAGCAAGAGTGAGACCCTGTCTCTACTAAAAATAGAAAGAAATTAATTGGCCAACTAAAAACATATAGAGAAAAAAAAAATCAGACAGGCATGGTGGTGCATGCCTGTAGTCCCAGCTACTCAGGAGGCTGAGACAGAAGGATCGCTTTAGCCCAGGAGTTTGAGGTTGCTGTGAGCTAAGTGGTTGCCATGGCACTCTAGCCCGGGCAACACAGTGAGACTCTGTCTCAAAAAAAAAAAAAAAAAAAAAAGTAGGCTTTTGGAATTATTTTCATGGGCCTCAACATTTCTTGACTATCCCAAGACACACTTTTAGCTCAAAGTTTGCCCTGTCATCCTTAACCTTCTCCATCTGTGAATCTAGGACACTTGCCTTCTCCACCCTTATGACCCTCCCACCCCCTACCCAGAAAGGACATAACCCAGCACTAATTCTGTCAGCACCAGGGACCACACTGTCATTACAGTTTGGGGAGACTGGAGGTACCTGCTTTGCTCTAAGAAAAAGAGTTGAAGAAATATTTCAGGTGCTTTCACCAGTATTAAAATACATTTACTATGTTAAGAGTTTATATGAACACAAGAAACAGACAGAAATATCCTAAAATATTAAAAATAAGTAGCATCACTTCACACCCACTAGGTGGGTATAGTCAGTCACAAAGACATAAAAGATTATAACAAGTGGTGGTGAGGATGCGGAGGAATTGGAACCCTCACCCGCTGCTGGTGGGGACATAGGATGGTGTAGCTGTTTTGGAAAACAGTGGGGCAGCTCCTCACATGGAGTTAATCCTGTCCACACGAGCCGGCAATTCCACTCCCAGGCACATACAGAAATGAAAACACGTCCACACAAAAGCTTGTACGCAAAGGTTCATGGCAGCATCATTCATAATTGCCAAAAAGTTGGGAAGAATCCAAATGTCCATCTACTGATAAATGGATAAACCAAATATGGTCCATCCACACAATGGAAGAGTGTTTAGGCCATAAAAAAGAATGCAATACTGACAGGTGCTACAACAGGTATGAGTGAGCCTTGAAAGTATTGCCCTACGTGAAAGAAGCCAGACACAAACAACCTCATACTGCATGATTTCATTGATATGAAATG